ATTGAACAACAAAAAAAGAGGAAAATATATCAGAACTCATTACCTTGGGTAGATTAGGACGGGAAATTGGAGATGATACTTTTCTACCCCTTTTTTAGGGGGTTTTTCAACCTTTGATTTTGAAGAAGAAGGCACATCCTTCCTGACTTTCTCGATACTCACTTTCGCCATTATAAGGGGATCATGCAATTTCTTCGATCTATTCTCAGCCCAACCTGCGTCTTCATGGTCAAACACACGATTATTGTTAGATGACATTATCTGGGTAATACCTATACTGAAAGAGGGAGCATCATCCATAATGTATCAGGATTTTGAATCAACAAAAAAACCTAACAACTATTAGCAAAAGTAATGAAATTGAAAAAATACCCAAAAGGAGTGAGAAATCGTTTGACTGGAGAGAGAAATATCTTCAAATTCAAATTCAAAATTAAACTGATAAGATCATGGGAGAGAGATATGGCGTGATTTGAGGAGTGAAAATTTGGGGAGATAGACGTGGGTTAGGAGATTATGTATCCGGGAGATGAGTGTAAAGGAGTGATAAAAGGGATTTATGAAATATTTAAAAAAAGTGGGGAAAAATTGAGAATAAAGTAAGTAAAGTTGTGTATATAAGTAATTTTTCCAATTAAATTTCTTTAGTTTTGATTTTGATTTTTGACCAATCCAAACCGATATGTCGGGCTGTACATTACGTAAGAAGCCCATTTATATTTTTATCATCTTTCCCTGCAATATTTTTGTTCCCTTCCATATTCCCATTACCATAGATATAAAATAATTTGTCCTTGCAAAATTTGAATTTCTAGCCATTGTCATCTCTCTCTCCTCCCCTTCCCTCCTCGTTTCTCGCGATATTATCAAGGTTTTAAGTAGTTTCTTCTCTCTTCTTCTTAGTGCCAAAGTTGTGTTGCTAATATTGATTTGTGATGTTACTTTCTCTGGAGAAGGAGTAGATCTGGAGAACTGTTTGAATTTGCGTCTTCTTTGAGAAAATTCTGCACTGTGAAATCAGTTGCTGTTCTAATTGTTGTTTACTTGAACTTTTTGCCTCTTCACTCAATGCATTGTGAAATAAGTGAATCTGTGATTAATATTGTGAAAGATTTTATTCAGATTTGAATGTCGATCGACTACGGCTTTGATTGCCGTGAACGATGTGTTTTCGCAGTAACAAATTCATTTGATTAAATTTCCAATTGCTAAATTCATCTGAATATGCGGCAAACTCTAGATTGTTCTGGTACATCCAGTTACAAACCTACATCTCAAGGTAAACAATCAATTCAATCCTTTCTTTGTTGTACAATTGCCAAACGAGATTCAATTGTTTCTCCTCTTGTCAGTGCTGTTTATTTTATCCTACACTAAATCAATTGTTGAACACTGATTCCTCTTTTCAACGTGTTTATAATGTGATATTCTTCCTTCTTATGGAGTGTGTTTGATGAATGCAGGCGCTTATTGGAAGTTTGCATTGAGGCCAATAAGGAAGTTGCTCAAGTCAATATTGGTACGTTTACTTGCATTTCACAAATAGATATGCATAATGAGTTTACAACAACGAGCACCTAGAAATTTTTTAATCCTTTATGGGTGTGTTTGGTAGAGATAAACTCATCCTACGTTATCCCGCAATTTTATCCTAACTAAAAATGGGATAAACTCATTCTGAAATTAATCCTGGATTCCTCGTACCAAACGAGCCCCAACTGTTAAAGCTTGTGACTTTGAGTGGCTGTTTAATTGGATTTATAGACAACCGAAAATGGATGCTAAAGGTGAAACCTAAGCCATTTTGTGAATGCATTTTCAGCCATTGTAATTGGCTAACCAATTGCCGTCAAAGCCTGTAACTTTAGCAGCAATGCAAACTAGATATAATCAAGAAGGAAATCCTGGTAAAACAAGAAGAAAATTTTGTCAAAAACCTACAATGAATATGGAGTGACTGGGGTAAATCATGCTAATATAATCCTGACATCTGAAGAACCTGATTCGAAATTTTAGGTACTGATTCCCAAATCCTTAAGATGTTATGAGTTGCGTTTTAAGTCATCATTGTTGGGTTCGGTCTTTGGTATTATGAGAGTGGAAACCGAAAAATGAAATAAGCAATGATCTCTGTTTACATTGCAGTTTTTATCAATAATGGGAAAGTTTGGCTTGAAATAGAATTTATGCACAGTTTATATGCAATATGCAACAAAAAAAAACTTATCATCATAAGATCCTCTATATATAATCTGTGAAGATCTCCAATACTGCAACTTTCATTAGAACATTCAATATGGAAGAAACATAGATATGGGACAGTAAGAGGCAGTCTAATGCCATTATTAGTCGAGCAAATTTTGGATCAACTTGGACTGTATGTAGGATGCATTATACGAGAACTATCTGAATTGGGGGTATTTTCATAGGAGTTAATGGGAACTGTGTAAAGATCTGATATTTCATCCTGATCATATTCTTCCTGTTCATGTTGACTAGACGAAGAGATTCCAGTTACCTTCCTCAAACCTTCAAGTTCAATAGACACATCCTTCATTGTAGGCCTATCTTCTCCATGCGGCTGAAGGCAGTTCTTCACCAGCTCAGCCATCTTTTGGAGTTGCTCAAGACTCCCTTCCCGCAAAACACGATGATCAATAATATGAAACAAGCTATTCGAGTTCATGGACAACACAAAAAAATCGGCCAAATTCTTGTTCTCTTCACTTCTAGCTCTAATAATAGGTTTCAACCCTGTCAAAAGTTCTGCCAGAACTACACCAAAGCTGTAAACATCACTTTTGTCAGTCAGTTGACTTGTGCGAAAATATTCAGGATCCAAATACCCTGATGTTCCTTGAACCAATGTAGCCACATGTGTTTGATCCAGAGGAATTAACCTTGATGCTCCAAAATCTGCCACTTTAGCTGTGTAAACATTATCCAACAATATGTTGGCAGACTTGACGTCTCTATGAATGATAGGCATGGACGCAAATGAATGAAGATAAGCAAGTGTAGTGGCTATCTCTGCTGCAATTCTCAAACGGTTTTGCCAAGTTAACCAACCCACTCCACGTTGGTTGTGAATGTGCTCGTACAGATTTCCTTCAGAGACATACTCATAAACCAATAAAGGAACTTCATCTTCCAAACAACACCCAAAGAGCTTCACCACGTTTCGATGGTTGATTTGAGTGAGAATAAGCACCTCATTGATAAACTGCTCAATTTGACTCTCATCCACAGTTCTAGATTTCTTAATGGCAACTATGCGAGTATCACGTAGCACACCTCTATATACAATCCCATTTCCACCATGACCAAGAATTCTGTCATTGGCATAATTGTTTGTAGCTTTCTTGAGCTCCTCTGTATGTAGGATGCATTATACGAGAACTATCTGAATTGGGGGTATTTTCATAGGAGTTAATGGGAACTGTGTAAAGATCTGATATTTCATCCTGATCATATTCTTCCTGTTCATGTTGACTAGACGAAGAGATTCCAGTTACCTTCCTCAAACCTTCAAGTTCAATAGACACATCCTTCATTGTAGGCCTATCTTCTCCATGCGGCTGAAGGCAGTTCTTCACCAGCTCAGCCATCTTTTGGAGTTGCTCAAGACTCCCTTCCCGCAAAACACGATGATCAATAATATGAAACAAGCTATTCGAGTTCATGGACAACACAAAAAAATCGGCCAAATTCTTGTTCTCTTCACTTCTAGCTCTAATAATAGGTTTCAACCCTGTCAAAAGTTCTGCCAGAACTACACCAAAGCTGTAAACATCACTTTTGTCAGTCAGTTGACTTGTGCGAAAATATTCAGGATCCAAATACCCTGATGTTCCTTGAACCAATGTAGCCACATGTGTTTGATCCAGAGGAATTAACCTTGATGCTCCAAAATCTGCCACTTTAGCTGTGTAAACATTATCCAACAATATGTTGGCAGACTTGACGTCTCTATGAATGATAGGCATGGACGCAAATGAATGAAGATAAGCAAGTGTAGTGGCTATCTCTGCTGCAATTCTCAAACGGTTTTGCCAAGTTAACCAACCCACTCCACGTTGGTTGTGAATGTGCTCGTACAGATTTCCTTCAGAGACATACTCATAAACCAATAAAGGAACTTCATCTTCCAAACAACACCCAAAGAGCTTCACCACGTTTCGATGGTTGATTTGAGTGAGAATAAGCACCTCATTGATAAACTGCTCAATTTGACTCTCATCCACAGTTCTAGATTTCTTAATGGCAACTATGCGAGTATCACGTAGCACACCTCTATATACAATCCCATTTCCACCATGACCAAGAATTCTGTCATTGGCATAATTGTTTGTAGCTTTCTTGAGCTCCTCAGCTGTAAAAATTCTTGTTGCTTCCACAGCGCCCTCTTTTGTGGCTATTCTTTCCTTCAATAGTAAACCACCGTTTTGTTGGAAAAACTTCTCCCTGGCTTGAATCAACTTTCTTTTCTTGATGCAAAAGTAGAGCAATGTTATCACAACCACTAGGGAGATTGACCCAACTCCAGTACCTGTGTAAGTAGTAGAGTTGAACTTTTATTGCCTATTTCAACTGAGCTAAAACAAAAGTTCAGGATTGTACACTTTCATTTTACTGTTGAATTTACATGCTAACATATTGGTGTTCCTAGAGGCTGTTTCAAACATATGAAAAGCAAGTTCTGTATTATTCAAACATAGTCTGGAATCTGGATTTCTGTAAAAAATAAAATTGAGTTGTTCTTGGTCATAGATCATAATAATCATATGTACGAAATATTGGAGTTTTCCCACATTCATAATAAAAAAATACATAAGAATATGTGAAAACAAAAGTACTGTTTTGTCACTTATGTGGTGCGGATATGATTTACTGTTATATAAGAGAAAAATGTATTATTCAAATTTTGGATAAATAAAGTAATTATCAGTGAGCAAAAAATAGTTTGAAATAGACTTCCAAGCTTCCCAGACATTGTCTCTTTCCAAAACTTTGTGCCTGGTCAAACAACATGAGATAAAATGGAAGGGAGGGAGTATTGCGGTTATGAAAATTTTCCAAGATATTTACCTAGAGAGAACTTGGTCCATAGCGACTGATGATCAGTGTAGGGAGGAATACAACTACGACCATCCTTTTTGCCATCATCGGTATATCCATCGGGGCAAGAACAATAGAAACTCCCTGGGGTGTTTGTGCAGTTCTTTTCACACGTATTGGCGCTTGGATCAGAACATTCATCAACATCTGGAAAAACCAAATAAGTAGAACGCTGGTATAACTTATATCAAAGCATTTCAATTGATCAAATGGAGAATTAAGCAGACTTCATTGGTGTAAAAGGTTTGCCTTGATCTTTTCCATGTATGAAATATGAATTGCCCTGAAAAACTGTGTTAATCGTCCTACCTTGGCAGCCTGCAGTGAGATATGGATTGCCCTGAAAACCTGGTTTACAGCTGCAGCGGTAGCCACCAAAACCAGCATCTGAATCAACACACTCGCTATTTTCCTTGCAAGCATAATCCTTGCCATCTTGCGCTTGTGTGCATGTGAAATCCCCGATGGCCCAGTCGAGCACAATGGGCACACTAGCCATAATACTCTTATAAAAGGTAGTAACATTACTTACATCCTCTAGGCCCCTGAAATGGAATCGATCTACCTCGCCTAGAAATGCAGACCCACATTGATTAAAATCCCAAACATCCGTGTGGTTTCGTGTGCTAGAAATAGTTGGTGTAAAGTTTTTAAAGCCCCTGGGTAAATGCACCTGATAGCAGCCATTACCCATGCATTTTCCTTCAATCACGTCGTTCGAGCTGGTACAGCTGGTGGAGCAGTTATACCCAAAGTTTGGGCCCGTGATGAGGGCATTGTCATCACAACCGACCAAGATAAACATGTTCCTTGCAGAGAAACTATAGGGATAAATTGAGCCCCCCAAATACATCCAATTGAGATTTTCACTGTACATAGATCCATTTTCGTTGTAACATCTCCAAGCGATGGCATTTTTGACGCGCAATTCAGCATCAGAGATGTCGTACACCTCAATGCTTCCTATTAAAGGTTTCTGAGTACCATCAGTCGAAACGTTGCAGATGACCTCGAACCCTGAGTTAATGGCGCAATCTGAGCCAATACCAAATGGGTATGGAACTGTTACGTTCCCGCACCTCTTACGGCATCCTGGTTTTGTTGTATTGGCAGCTTTGATGCTGGTGCTACTAGTCGTGTTTTGGGCTGGGGCTAATGTCAGTAGTAGTAGTAGCAGCAGCACACAACCGTAAAAGCAAGTAATTTGGTAAGGAAGCAAATTCATGTGTTTTAGGTCCATGGTTTTTGAGAATTTCCAAAATGATGCAAACTCTAGTTTGAGAGTACAACTGACTCATAAGATTTTTCATATTAATAAAATGCAACGATTTGGGGTCAATCATGCCCAACAGGCAATGAATAATGCCTTAAACAATGATTCAGAAGAGTCAAGAGGGACAGTAGTATTAGCCGGTGTTGATTGCTGTCAAAATATTCTCAAAGGTAAGAACAAGTATCATGTATTCTTGCTTATTTTTAAAACTGTTTTGGTTAAATTTAGGGATGCATCGGTCCAGTTTTATGTCCTCGCTAAACCGATGATCAAACCAACAAGATATTTATTATTTATTATTGATTTTTTATCTTTAATGGTTTGATTTATGGTTTATATATATATATATATATATATATATAATAGAAATAGTAGCAAGTGCAACACAAATAGTATTTGGATAAAATAAAAAAGTATTTTTCAGCACTTAATTTAAAGTTAGAAAGACAAAAATTACAAGTCCATCCAAACAGGTTCTAAATCACTTTTATCTCTTCCCAAAAATCATTCAACTATTTTATTTATTTACAAAAAAAAAAATTAAAAAAATTAATAATAAACTAACTTGTACATCTGGGCAAAACTTTATAAGAAGCAATTCTGTCACTATTATTCTCTAGCGTGTACATAAACTCATTGACGTAGATAATCTAACCATTTGCACTTGTAAGGTCATCGGAAGAGACTGGTTCAACATAGGTCATGCACGCTTCAATATGGATCGTGTACACCGTCTGTGCTTGAAAAACTATTAAGTAGACGTTTGGTCAAAGCAATTTTGAGATTCAAATTACATATTCAAATGAAATTTTAACTTTAAATCAAAGTCAAACGGTGTCTAAGAAAAGAATTGACGGACCAATCCTATACAAGGAAAGCAAAAGAATGAGGGTCAACTCATTAGGCATTTAAGCTTATAAAAAATTGAACAAATGCTTTTCGAAACACTGTTTGCTTGGAAACCAGTTTTAGGATAAAGTTTAGAAAAAATTATTCTGAATAAAAATATAAAGGTGGTATAGTAGTTTATGTACATCTGGATCACTTGTCTTTTCGGTGGGATCTATGTCACGTATGCACTGGGGTATTACGTAGGTCTGTGGTAAAACATAGTATAATTTTTTGTCCCAAACTTAGATTGACAAGAGGTTAATTTTGTTGGAATCTGAACTCCAAGACCTTTATAGATTGCAAATATGTTCATTTCAAGTCAAATAACATAGAGATTATTAGAAATACTTCCCGTAATTAAACTTTAATTTCAACTAGAATTTTTGTTTCTAGGCTGCCATGGCCTCTAACTTTAGTCTTAACACTTCTAGTAGACTTAATATAAGTGTTCCTTGGTTCAATCACCCATTTGCAACTACTCTCCCAGCATCTCAACAACGGGTGACGTAAAGTTATAAGATTAACCTTGTAAATTTTTGAGGACCTAATTTAAATACTCCGAATATTTGGTGTGTTACATCATAATTAGACTATTGGTAGGAAACTATTCGAATTCTATTTTCTAGACAAAATGGATGAATCTATATTAACTAGAGTTAATTGAAATCTCATAAAGGTATGATGGTTCAGCTTCATTCTCTTCATCTCGACGTTGACTAGACCAAGAGTTCCTAGTAAACTTCTCAGACCTTTAAGTTCACCAACCACTTCCTTCATTGTAGGCCACGCGAGCAGAATTTGTTCGTCACTAGCTCACCCATCTTTTGAATCAAAACACAACGATCAAGAATTTGAAATAAAAAACTCTTATTTATGGACAAAAAAAAAAGAGAGACCAAATTCATGTCCTCTTCGTGATAGAATTAGTAGATGTGAACTTTTACAATTAATTTGAAGTTTACATTGATTGTGATAGAGTACTTGCATTCAAAATAAATTTGTTGTATATAATTAGTTAATTAGTATACATAAAGTTTATTGTGGAGCTATGTATATACATTTAGTCCATGTATACTATTGTAATTGATTAAAGTATACTTCGACAATGATGAATTACCTTCATTCAAAAGGATTAAGATATGTATAACCAGGTTATGTATATTTAAACTCGACTGTATAGCTCTAATTTATACTATATACATTTGATAGATGTATACGTTTATAATTAATTTGAAGTATACATCATTGTGATAGAGTACTTTCATTTAAAAGGAATTTGTGGTATATAATTACTTTATGTATACATAAAGTCTACTGCATAGCTAATTTATATACATATATAGTATATGTATATACTATTATAGTTGATTAAAGTATACATCGACAATGATAGATTCGTGTTCATTCAAAATATTTTTGATATGTATAATTAGGTTATGTAAACATAAAGTCAACTGCATAGCTAATTTATATATACATATAGTAGATGTATACTTTTATAATTAATTTGAATTATACATCGATTGTGCTAGAGTATTTTCATTTAGAAGGAATTTGCGATATATACTTAATTTATGTATGCATAAAGTCTACTGTATAACTAATTTATAGAGGACATTTATGTTTTTTTTTTGAGAAACTACATAATTAAACATACTCCAGTACTATATATATATATCATCTGTACTTTCAAAACATTACATAATCTTACTACTAATTAAGAGTTTCCTACCATATATTAAGAAAGATACACCAAGATACATGCAGTTTTTGCTACCAGGTATACTAAAGTAGGAAGAGAGGCGAGTGAGATGGGGAGGGAGGCGAGCTAGAGTTGTTATGTATCCCAGATACATGTGAATCACACTAGATACATGTACCTGTCGGTGTGATTTGTATGTATTTGGTATCCGAATACTTAGGAGAGTGGCGAACGAGATTTGTTATGTATCCTAGATACATACGAATTCACTTGGATATCGTGTATCTATAACAAATTACACCTAATTTTGACCCATGTATCCCGAGTTACATGTATCTGAATGCAACGAAATATGATAAATTTTGTAATATTACAAACTAGAATGTATCTAAGTAACTAGCTCCTAAACTAGTGGGATGTTTGTAAGTTTCATATTTCACCCAAGCCCAAGAGAAAGGATTTCATGTTTTGAGCATACTGTAATTTACAATTACATGCCTCCAACACTAGAAGGAAGAAAACGAATAAAGAGAACCACTGAAAAGAAAAGAAAAAATTAAAATTGAGAAAAAAGGAACTTACATAATTAATACATCCATTATGAAGTTAAGAAACATAGGGATGGGGAGAATAACTTTATGTTACTAATTATAACGTACAACCTTATATTATTAGTAATTGAATTAATTAAAACTGTGGAAAGATCTAATAATTTTTCCTCATTCTCTTCAAGTCCATGTTGATTAGACCTAACGTTCCTAGCCTATATATAAAAGTTACGTACATTGACAAAATACAGACATTCATGGGGTAGTTTGATATGACGGATTAAGGTAGATAAATATATTTTGAAAGTATAGATAATGAAACATAATAATCTTCGGACTAATTAATATCTATAATCAAATACGAGACAAAATAATCTCACATTTCTTATCTTAAAATTGTTATTCTTATCCTACCAATCAAACAAAGCCAAGACTTATAATGTCTAAGGGGCACGGTTCATATATTGCCTTGTTGACTTGTGATTTGAAAACAAGATTTTAGGTGTTTTTCAAATTTCAAATTTTCATAATAAAACACTAATTTTTAAATAAAATAAACACAAATATTGAAAAATTCTCATAATCAAATGAATACAACAATCTCGGGTGGCAATTGAATTGCCGCTAATAATTATGAAGGGGACCCAATTTTTATCATCTTTCCCTCCAATTTTTTGTTTCCTTCAATGTTCCCATTTGAAATTTTATAGGGAATAGAAACTATAATTCCCAATTTCCCATCTCTCTCAATCCATGGAGGAAGTACCATTGCTGTAACGACCCTAAAAACGAACTAGTGAAACTAGAGCCTCATATGTGAGTTTGGAGTTGAGAACTTGATGAAATTATGAGAAATGACAGTGACGTCCGGAAACTAATCATATGAACTAGTGAGTTGTAAATGTCAACTTTAAATGGTCATATCTTTTAGCTCAAGATGAATTAGGTGGGCCTTTACCTATCAAATTAAAGGTCTCTGAGTCCTCTTTCCAACGCCACCGAGTTTGCCCAATTCCGACCTTGGAGTAAAAGTTATGCCCAAAATATGAAGCACTGTCAGGCTGCAACAAAGGGCGAACTAAGACGGGAAGGGGCACAATTTTTAAGTCAAGACTTTATGGGTCCTTAGTCCTTTTCCAAAATTGACCCTATGCTATTCTTTTCCTTTCCTAGCAACTATAAGACCTTTTTATGACCCAATTCCTTTCATTTAAGTCACTCCTCTTAGAATTAAAAAGAAACCCACCTCCTTTCAAATATATTCTCTACAATCCTCCATTGAAGAAGGTCAAGAACTAGGAGCTAGGGTTTGACGATTTTTAAGGTGGTTCTTTCTCAAATTACTTGGGGATTCTTAGTTAAGGTATGAGGATTCTTTATCTTTGATTCCTTTTTCAATCAAAGAGCTAATTCAAAGTATTTTCAAAGTTCTTCAAAAATCCTAAAGTCTGAATTTTGATTCTAGCATGGGTTCTTGCATAAAAAAGGTTTTAAATGATGATTTATATTGTTATTAATGATTATTAATGGTTTTTAGAAAGAAATCTCCATGAACCCATGTTTTCTCAAATTCTCTAAATTTCACCATAAAGTGGGTGTATTGATTTTGAGTAGATGATAATAGAATTGTGTTTAGTATGGTACGGGTTGTTCATATATGGTATTATATATTTTGAATTGTGAAGAATTGATGTTGAATTGAAGGATATGAGATTTGAGCCTTGAATGGGCAAATAGTAAATCGGTCCTTATGTTGATTATTGGATTATGTTTAGCTTGTATTGTATAGCTAAATTCTACTATTATCTATGTTATTCTATTGTGGTATTATGGAGAATTAAGGATGGTGATTGGGGCTTGGAAAGGATGGGGATTGTGGCTTGGAAAGGATGGTAAGTTGACCTACTTTATGAATAATGTTGGTTATGGCTTTGGAGAATGGTAAGATGGCTTAATCTCTTAGTATTGATATAATTGTTATTGATTGGTTTGATCCACCTTTGGTGGAGGTGGTTATTTGTTGTATTATTGTGAATTGAGGCCATGAAGGGCATTATATGAATGTTATTATATTGTTGTATTATTATACACATATGAGGCTATATGTATA